CTTCTGGGTTGGAGGCCATCGCTTCTGGGTTGGAGGCCATTGCTATTCGGTTACTCTTCAGATCTCTCCAGCTCTCATAGGGGCTCCCGCCAGTTGTGCCCAAGTCTACCCAGCAGGGCCACGAAGGCAAAGCCAGACCTGGTCGAACGCATCCTCTTCGATGAACGTTGGACCAAACAAGGACAACGAAGTGAATATGGATCGATACCTTTTGGCTGCCACAGTGAAAACGTGTGAAACTTGTGGTGTGACACTGGTCAACTCTGGAACCCTCGGTCGATGAAAACTTGAACAACCCCACCCACACTCAGTCACAAGCTCGGTCGCTGAGCCCGCTGCAGAATGACCAAAGCCAAGCGTGCCTTTGCCCAAAGGAGCTCCAAGCGACCCAAGCAGGGATCTACCACCAGGCGCTTTTCCTGTCATCTTTACATCGGACAAATAATCCTGGTGTCATTACTACTGTTTGTAGCTTTTGTTCCTGCCGTTCCTTTCAGAGGTGATGAAATGTCTTGACTGGAAAAACACCTTTTCAGTCCCTGTCTGAAGAAGCTTCCCCGCCGATAGCTTCATGCATCCCGGAGTGCCTCCAGTGGAGGTGGCACTGGCTGCCTCAAAGGAGAAATAGGGCAGTTTCAGCATCAAGACACTGGAAAGTAGGATATGGAAATCTATATGCATGTATATATTATAGACATATCTAGAGTGCAGTGAGTCTCGTGCAAGACATATGATCCTACAAAAAATGGTGCAGCACCATGTCTAGTCTAGAGTCCAGAGTGAATGACCCTGTGGCGCGGAAAGAATATCATTTGGTCAAATTATGACAGGCTGAAGTACCCAATCACAGCTTGCAATCAAACGGTTAGACCGTTGGCCTACATTGACCAAAAGTTGCATGATATTGCATGTGGTTTTGTCAAGAAACGGCAAGTCCCTTTGCTGCTCAGCTTGCATTTGAACCTCGGACACGGCGGGTGGCGACGATAAGAAATACCCGAGAAAACAAACAGCGTGCCGCAAAGAGAGAGAGAGAGAGAGACTGATGAAGCCAACTTGCTAGGCCCATTCGTTAGGCTCACCAAGCTCCCAAAAAGGAGATAAATGTTCGTGCCTGTTCTTCATGCAGCAACTCTCGAACCTACGAGAAGCAAGCCCAAACAGGTGTTTCGGTCTTCAACGACAACACTGACCTTCGCTGATGCTCCTACAGACCTTCGCTGCAAGCGATGAACCCTCTCATAATGACAGACCTTCGCTTCAAACCTTTGCGTTTGGCGAGTCGCCGGTGCAAAAACATCAGACTCACACGCGACTCACACAGACGACACACAAGTTGTTCGTCTCTTGCTCGGGTTGGTTGAGGTCGTCTGCTACAGTCCCACCTCCCGGTGGGTCATCGCGAACAGCTGGTGGCGTGGTCCAGCAGAACCCTGGCATGCTCACAATAAATATGCGACTCCCAGTGGTTGTGCTGCTTCCTTCTTTCCAAACCATGAAAACCTTCCCAAAGTGCCCTTGATTGAAGGATATCAAGGGCAAGAAGCACGGCAAAGCTGTGTCTTTTAATGCAAAGCTATGATAGTTTGGGCATCATCCATCCACTGCCCGCAAAAAGTTCATGTTTCTGCCTCCGGTGTAGGCGAAATGAACCTCGGATTCAAGAGTTGTCTCCACTCTGGCCTGATGGCAAGTACACACGCCATAAGGAATCTCTTGAAGCCAAAGGCACTCAGCCGAAGAAGCCCCAAGCAGCGCTTCAGTTTCAGCCTGGCAAGCACTCTATGGTCTGACACTTCAAGACGGTCTGGAGGCCCTACGGATGTCTACAAATGTCTGAAATGCTTCCCAACTCCCGAGCCGATTCCCAGGCCTCATCGGATTCCGCGCTGGCCACGTGCATGGTGTAGTTGGAGTCTGTGCTAATGCTACTCATGCTAATGTCAATGTGTTCTAATACAATCTCCTGGGTCTGAGCACTACTCAGCAACTCCCTGTAGGCATGGTGGTACATTTGATTTGGAGATCCAAGTTCCAGTTGTAGCGATCACAGGAGGCATCGGTGATGACCCAAAATCGCTGCTTCATGTCAGCCATGCTGATTCATGTCCCCCCGCAATGCTGGGCCACATGACTCTCCAGATGTGGCAAAAAGGAGTGAGTATGATGCTTTTTCCTCCATCACTCCAAATAAGGCACTTGATATACATGTCCACATGGCTGCTTTTCAAGGGCTACACCTTTGTTCCAAGGATCAGATTTGCCAACCAATTGCACCACAAGCCTTCAACGTCTTCAACCTGAGCCGTTTCGATGTTCCATCCCTCACCGCCTCACGTCGGGGCTCGATGGCGCTCTGAGCTCTTCGCTCCTGTCATGAGGGATGTGTGTAGTCTGATCCGCGCTTGAAGCATCGGAGACAAATCAACATATGATAAAATACTGGTGGTGCACTGTTGCAATTGATGACTAGAAGGACGAAGAATCCGCTCAAGTGGACGGCAACATGTTTGTCAGAAGGCTGCTCTGTATGAGCATCTTGGAACTCGGAACTTGCCAAAGGCGACATTGAGACCACCGCTGCGAACATGTCTTGAAGATGTTGAAATGCGTTGAAGAAGATTTGCTGCCCGTTTGCCCAACTTTGAAGTTGTCTACTGTAGTCTTCTTTCAGGTTGGTCATTGGTTGGATTGTCACTTGTATCAGGACAGGCGATGCAGGTGCTGGGATCTATGCTGTTCACGCAAATGCATCGTTCGAACATTGTGTATTGTCCATGAATTGAGGGAAAGATCATAACGAATTAGAATGAAAAACAATGTAAAACACACAGCTCCCTATGTATATAAAGTATAAAGAGAGAGAGAGAGAGAGAGATACAGAGAGAGAAAAGAAAAGGAATAAAAAAAAGTAAGAGACCCTCGAATAGGTAAGGGGCACTTCTCATGTTCCTCTATTTCCTATCCAAGCCTCTCGTTGTACTAGTCGATCTTATACCAGTCTTCTGCCCCCCGCGTTCATCTGAAGCGCCTGCTATGTGACCGTTACGGTGCTCCAAGACTGGAACACATCCTAAGAGCTGGTGTTCCGTTTCCTTAATCACCTGAACATTCAACATCAATTCTACAAGGCATCGAGGCAGCCCGGAAGCATTTTCAGCTGGAAGCCAAGCTACATTCCGGACAGACTGGGCAAAAACTAAACCAGGCCTGTGGCTTCTCGGTATTCCTCAACTCTCAAAGTTCCCAAACCCTGGGCAGGGCTCCTCTGCATCCATGTTGGAACTCGTCCTGCCATGTGAAGCTGCCACTGGCTATGAGGGAACCAAAAAAGGATGAAAAAAACATCCATCCAAACCTGCCGCTTGGCCGACCATGAATCCTTCTCTGACAAACCGACCGCGCTTCTTGTCTTCAACAGGTATATAAATAGAAATGACAGTGTCCGCTTGCCTTGGTGTCAGCTTGGAACCTGGTGTACTGCTGCGGGCCTTGGCCAACTTCAGGGCTTGTTTGATCACGGACATTGGAAAGCAAAAGTAAGCGCAATGGGGTGAGCAATGGTGAACAACATGCACCTCTCAAGCCCACACAAATTTTGAAGCACTTCCCCTTCTCAGGTTCTCTGCTGTTTCAAGTCCAGAAGTGGAGTGGGAGGAGGAGGTGCACACATGCAGTTTCTTGGTTGAAGCCTCCTTTGACCCGTTTGAACGCGGACGGCAGGCAACCCCACACGCACGGACGGTCGCGTGAGTGCCCGCTGAGGAAAAGGGGAGGCCTCCAGCTTCAAGTCACCTGAAAAAAATCAGGAACTGATGGCGCGATGGCTGGCAAAACAAACTCATACAGGACTCACACATTCAATGTCACGCATGGCGAACAGCAATGTATGAAGCGCAAGCAAAGCCCTGCTTTTATTCACCTCTTGTTCTGAGGGCCAATCTTGGCAAACTGCCAGCCACTGCTTGCTCTAAGTTGATGAAGCTTTTTGAGATGATAATGCCAACTGTTGATGGACATAAACACATACCTGAGAACGGAGGGGACGAAAGCCAGCCCCCCCCCCGCGTATGTGTGACGGGACCCTACTATCCGTCGTGTCTACTTGACTTTCTTCGTGTGCCCACCTTCTCTTTCTACTTCCTGTCACTGTAGCTTCGGACAAAGCGCGGCAGTATCGCGGCGGCTCGCGCAACACGGTGGATGCGTTGTGGACAGGGCCGTCAGCCCACGAATACCTGTTGGCTTAAGACGTAATATTTGTGGACCTTATATGTACATGAAGCGGTTGGAAAATACGCCCGCAAACACCCACGCGCGAGCGAATTCTTTTCTTGAAGGTTTTGAGGCTTCAGTGAAGAGGCTTCCCAGGGACAAGGGCAATGTGGGCAAGACATCTTTAAATGGTACAACTGGACCCTTTAATGATCTACATGGCCAGTACAAATGGTATTATGCTTAATGATGAACGAACATCTTGGTCGAGGCATGGCATTACCGCTCTGTCCCAGTGTCCTTGACTTCGCTCAGCAGCGACCGGCTTGCAAGGTTACGTGTCCGCCCAAAACAATCACGACGTGTCCATTCCAGTACCCGGATTTCCTGCATTTTTGACTGTCAGTGAATTCGCACGCGAAGGTCTTTGGGTGAGCGCATTTTTGGTGTTCCGCTGCTCTGTTTTCCTGCATGGGCGCGCCGACCAGGAACAGCGTGGAACATGGAAGACGCAAAGCAACCAAAAGCAAAAGACGAGCTACAGAAGAAGGCCCTTGTTCTGCTTGCGGCCTACTTAAACAAAGGCTGCAAGGACCCTGGATGAGTGCACCTTGACTTATATAGATTAAAAGTGCTATTACATTGGTCGAGGCATGGCATTGCCGCACTGTCCCAGTGTTCTTGACTTTGCTCGGCAGCGACCGGCTTGCATTATGGATGCATGAGTTTGACGAGGCTGCACCCTTGGCCAAACGGCCAGTGGACCCTTCTTCCTGCTTCTTTCCTTCTTTTTCGTTCTTTTCCCCTTCTTCCTGTCTCTTCCTTCTTCTTGCCTATTCCTGCCGCCTCCTCTAAAGCTAAATGTAGTACTGTAAAAAGATACGAACCAGCAGCAAACACTCACAACGTGTCAATTCCAGTACCGGACTTTCCTGCATCTTGCATGACCGTCTTCGCTTCCTGCTTTTTCGTTCTTTTCCCCCTCTTCCTGTCTCTTCCTTCTTCTTGCCTCTTCCTGCTTCCTCCTCTAAAGCTTTATGATATAAATGTAGTAAAAAGATACGAAGAAGCATCCAACACTCACAACGTGTTAATTCCAGTGCCGAACTTTCCTGCATCTTACATGGCCCTTCTTCTACCTTCTTTCCCTCTTCCTCGTTCCCTTACCTTTCTTCTTCTTCTTCTTGCTTGTTCCTTCCTTATCTTGCCTTCTTCTTCGCCCATGCCATTGCATCCTTTACATCATGACAGCCCTTCTTCACCCATGCCATTGCATCCTTTACACATCATGACAGCCCCCCTCTGATTGCATCACTTGCATCCACAGCCTCCCCCCCAGACCCCCAAATACTCACTTCGTTCGCTATTCTGATCTTCGCCTAGCCTACGGCTGGCTTTCGTAAAATTGAATGAGGATGTAAAACCCTTCTGGTACGGACTTGTTTAACTCAACCGTCTACTACGGTATCGTACTACATGACTGCTCCAGAGCTCCACGGCCTTTGCATGGTGGTGGCCGGCCCTTGGAGCCTGGCAGAGAAATCAAGGTGCTTCAAGAAAGACACATTAAGGATCCGTCCTCGGTGACCCATGGAAATGCACCTCTTCGCACCGTGTCAACATGCGAAAGCGTACAGGCCAGAGGACAAAGGCACCGAGGCTCCAGGGCTCCCGAAAGGCTCCCCCGGCCTGGCGGCACGAGGCTTCCTGGCCTTTCGCACTCCTTCGGCGTAGACTCCTCCAGCCTCGGCAGGCTGGATGAGGGGTGAGTCTTTTCACAAAGGACATGATCAGGTTTGACCATTTCGCTTGCGATCAGGTGTGACTCCCTTTGCCCATTGAAACTTGAGTGATGGAAGGAAGACTATGTGCCTGTCACACTTGAAGGCCGTTTCAGAGGTGTCCGGGACGGGGCCACTGCATCACTGCCGTAACATGAGCAATACAAGCCTCCAAGAATTGCCCTCTGATTACTGTATAATTTTTGAAGACTGTGGCTTCATGCAATGCAGACACGTCATCCGGCCAAAAATTCTGAACCATTCCTTTTAGCGAAAGAGTTTTTGCATCTTTTGTTGCGTTACATCACAATGTGTACAGTGTTTAAGTCTCTAAGTCACCGGCAAGGCGCAAAGATCTTGTCTCAGCTCAGCTGGAAGTCCTCAAATGTTTGGTGGCGTCTGAACGACGTCTTTCACAGAAACTACAGGACATCTCGACCAGGGGCTTGCACGGATCGATATGCTCACAGGTCTGCTGATTTCTACAGCTATGACTGCTATGACAAAGATTGTTAGTAAATCCATGCTGACAACGATGGTGAAAAAGACTGTGACGCCGCTCAGGCCGCAGGCCATCGGCCCTGATCCACAACCAATTGGATTGGACCCATCGAGTTTCTGAGCTTCCTGGCCGTCTGCTGTGTCCAAAGCTTTGCGAAAGGCTGCCACCTTCTCCTGCGGACTTTCCCATGCAGCGAAAACCAACATCTCGTTCTGGGCGATTTCGTTGGACACGGAGATTGCTCCCTTCGGGATCCAACATTGAACTCCAAATCTGGGGTCCCCAAATCCGGGGTCCCTAAACCGGTCCCTTCAGGTCCGTGCCTTGTCCAGCTGCTCCGTGAGCGGAGACGCTCCTGGCGAACGTGCCGCTGCGGGTGATGTGCAGAGTTGGTCGCCAAGGACATGGGGCTCACGAGGCTCACGCTCAAAACGTGTTGACTTCTTAGCATGTTCTAGCGGCTAGATCTAAATCAGTCCTCATCCTCAATTGAGCGCTTACACGTGTTTCTGAAAGTTTGTCCTGTCCCCCCTTGCAAGAGTCTTGCTCCTGGCAAGCCACAGGCTTCGCTGGTCCTGAGTCCAAAGGATGGGCAATCCATGCTGTCTTGACTCTAGTTGCCAGTGCAAAGGACTTCTTAGGCACTGAAACTATCTGCATTTATATTGTATATATATATACTATTTATACTGTATAGGCATCCAAAGACACGCCTCATTCTCTGCAAGCTCCAAATGATGTGCCGAACGGCCAAAAAGAGAGTCCTTGCCTTTCTCATGTGGTGATAATATCTTAATCTTAAGATAGCAACATCTGGTGATAATAACTTTCTTGAACATGTGTCTTTCAGTTCGAACACCAAGGGCCTCGTCCAAGCCTGTTCATGCTCTACCGGCTCTGGCTCCGCTTCCTTGATCCAGAGCTCACAGTCCACGCGGTTGGCTCAAACACGAACTCAACACCCCGAGATCGCCACAAGAAAGGGTGCAAACCTCAGAGGTGTTTTCGCAAAATGGTGCAAACTAGAAATGACAAAATGCTTGTTGACAGGTGCAATTGCCTGGCAAAGATCGCATCTTCCAGCTTACTCAGCCTTCTCGTTGCCTCTCTCGTTTGGGGAGTGTACCAAAAGGCTTTGGTGCAATTTCCGTGTCCGGTCCTCACGTGTCTCAGCTCAGGACTCAAAGTGTTGCTCACCTTCTCTTGATTGACCTGAGGAGAGCATCCCAGATTGGCAAATCATAGCCTTAACAATGAAATGGCTGCGGAAACAATGTCTGAAAATACTCCAATAATTATGTGTCTGAACCCTGGCCACTAACCAGCCATTCAGAAACCAATCAGCAAGCCGGCGGCTAGCATGTTTGCTCAAGAATGGTGTTTCAATATGCAAGCCAATGATCATTGGTGGACTGCAATGATCAAAACCCACCGTTCAGTCCAATGAAGCGCCACTGAACAAGGCCAGAACCCAAGAATTGACTCTGGGCATCAAGGGAAGCCTCACATCGCATCTCTCCTTCTAAACAGAGAGCACAAAAGGTGCGAGAACTTGTGGAGGAGCGTGTGACATGCAGCTATGGAAGGGCCTAGCCGAAGGTTGAGAATCTTGAGTCGGGGGCGAGCTTGCTGGCACATTATTCCCTCAAGTGCAACAAGTACTGGTACTTGTGGTTTGCGGAATTGAGCAAAGCACAAGTTTGATACTTCACGGTTCGTCCAGGGAATGAGGCAAAGGTGAGTTGCAGACCTCTGGGTCCTTGGAGAATTGTATTGGAAACCAATGTCACGCCACTAAACCAACTCAAGCCGACATGCCCCACGGCTCCCTTGATGCCTTCCGTTGACTGGCAAGGCCTGTGGGCTGGGCTCAGATTGGTCTCATGCTGGTGTCTTTGGAAGGTATGTTGAGTTGAAAACCCGATATGAGGTCTTCCCATGAGGTGACAATCCCTCAAAGACCATTTTCCAGTGAGTCGGGTGCTCTAAGAGCGCATGCATAATCTGAAAGACATTAAGTTATATACTCCCCAGCATTTTTGAACATGCCACAGTAGCTGCAACACATGAATCTGCGCCAGACAAGCAAACCCTCGGTGAGGTCTAGTGGGGCTGAGCCTGACAGACCCCAAGTTCGATGCGAGACACACTGGCACTGTATCTGCACCATGTCTTCCACATGAATCTATATCCGGTTTTGCACCATGTTTGACCCCCATGTTCACAAGATGTCGCATCATTTTGGGCATCCCCCATGTCTTGAGCGCTTGATCAAAGCTCAAGACATGCGATGCCAAGGCGATGGGCTCCCAGGCCTGCCGGCAGTGCCATATCTGTTTTGCTCAGTAGCGCTGTAAGGGCTGCATCGATCCTCAGGCAGTTGGTCTTTTGCGGTGGTTTGACTCACAAAAGCAGTCTTCCGAGCGCTACAGGTGTCCTTGCGGGTCTGAACCATCTGATTCTGTTTTGGAAGCTATGCAAACCGCTCACAGCTCAGGAAGGCACGCCACAAAGCGTGAATCTGAGATGATCGATCGTTCTAAGACCTGCGAGATGTTTCGCGCTGGCCAAATCAAGGATGTGAATCTATCATGGATTTCGTGCCCAATCAAATTTGAGCGTGTTTCAATGATTCCTGCGGATTCTGTTCATAGCTCACATGTCAGCGTAGCGTAGCCCAACATACTTGACGCAAAAAGCGCCTGGCTCGCCTCCAAGGCTGAGGCCTGGGTATGGAGGCTAGCCGTGCTCAGGACTATGCATCAGTGGAGGCATGAATCGACTATGCGCCTTCAGAGACCTGCATAAACCTGCGTGAATCGACTTTCGTATACTTTCGTCTTTAACACCAGCCTCAGGGTGCTCCATCTTTGGCACCTCCTCTGCCTCTCAGCGACTGGTCTTCTGGAATGTTGCTTCCTACTTACTCTGGGCTCAATCGTCAAGGCGGATGTGAAAAAGCAAAAAATGGTATCTTCACTGTTCATCATGGAATTGCCAGGGTCACTTTGATAATCTACAGCTGTATAAGTGTGGTCTCGGTTGGATAGTCCATTTACATGGCTACTCCGGTGAAATACAATAAGGTAACAGCAATGTTCTTTGCGTTGTTTGATGTTTCCCTCATGCCATATGCTGTTTGTGTCTCCAAAATCACTCCACTTTAAATCACTCCACATTCCCAGGCGCCAACTCCCACTTTCCCGCACCTGGCTAGGCTTTACCTCACAGATTTTGCATGGCCATGCGCAAGTGAGGTGGGAAGCACATCTTCGCTGGTGGGAAGCTAGAAGGCTGTAAAAATCTTGTCATGATTTGGACAGGGTGGTGTGTCTTCGCATGTTGGGACCTGCCAATGACAAACTCGTAGCGTCCTTGCTCCTAGTAGAAAGGCCAGGAGCCCCTAGTAGCGTCCTTGCTCGTAGTAGTATTTTTGTACAACGCCAGCCTGCAGCTGTTCCAGCAAGCATTGTTGCAGCTCCTATTGGAGGGACGCGTGGTGGCTGTAATTGTCTGTTACATGCGTCCGACAATCTCCTGCAGGTGCCGTGCTCTGTCATTTATGGCATCCTCTTTCACCTCCCAGCTCAGGACAAATGGAGCGGTATGATGGTTTTTCGTCTCCACACTCTACATCACTCTACTACCTATAGCTCTTCTGTGACCCCATCAATGCGATGCAACACTTAAGCGTCTACTCAAGCACACTTCGAAAAAATACTTTACTTCGAGTGATCCCCACCATGACATTTCAAGACAGCCACGTTGACATCACCATCGTTGTGTATTTCAGGGCCCGAACCTGGGAAACTTCCAGGGCCCGAGCAGTAGTAGTAGTAAAAGTAGTAGTAGTAGTAGTAGTAGTAGTAGTAGTAGTAGTAGCAGTAGCAGTAGCAGTAGCAGTAGCAGTAGCAGTAGTGGTAGTGGTAGTGGTGGTGGTGGTGGTGGTGGTAGTAGTAGTAGTGGTAGCAGAGGTGGTGGTAGTAGTAGTAGTAGCAGCAGCAGCAGTAGTAGCAGTAGTAGAGGTAGTGTAGTAGTAGCAGCAGTGGCAGCAGTAGCAGTAGCAGTAAGGCCCGGCAGGGAACACGTGGGCCTGGAGCTCGCGGTTGAGGTCCGGCAGGGAACACTGGGCGCGGATGGTCGCGGATGAGCGGTGGGGAACACTTGGGTCTGGAGCCTGCGGTTGAGGTCCGGCAGGGAACACTGGGCGCGGATGGTCGTGGTTGAGGTCCGGCAGGGAACACTTGGGTCTGGAGCTCGCGGTTGAGGTCCGGCAGGGAACACTGGGCGTGGAGGAGGAGGCGGAGGAAATGGGGCTGACGTAAAATCTAACAACCCTCACCTGACAGGTGGGGAACCATTCTCTTGATGCCAATTCGTCCTTAACTCTTCCAGTGTGACGAGTTGCAAGCCCACATTTGGCTTCCAACATACAAACCACAACCATTTCTCATCTCCTCTTGGAATCCTTTCCATTCCCCCTTATCTTCCCTTTGCATTTCCACCAAGTTCACGTTCCGATGGCCCCACAAATCCGTTCCGTGAACCAACGTTCTGTCGAGTCTGACTTACGGGCACGTGCGTCACAAGATGCTGGCATGGAGGCATGCGGTGCCATGCTGCCACTGTTGGCTTTCGCTTGCCTTCAATGCTTCTTCCCGCGCTTCATCTCTTTGATTTCGTAGCTCTGCCACCTGGCACAGCCCAGGTGTCCCTCTGAAAGTGGCTTGGCTATTCAACTCAGAGCAAGTTAGCACTGGCACAATGGCCGATAAGCCACTTCCAACTCATGGAAGGGCAGCATCAGGCATGACTCTTTGCTGAAGAAACACATCTGTGTGGCATCTTCGACTATAGTGACGTTAAAAAGTAACGGAGCCCTTAGAGGGAAGCGCACCTGGCGTTGCATTTCGCTCGCCAGCAATCGCCTTGAGAAGCACAGAAAAAGAAAACACGTTAGACAGATTACAGATTTGTCGCAAAATCGGTAAAGCAAAACTTCTTGAAGCGTGATGGAAACTCCATGGGAGGCGTTCTCCGCCACCTTGAAACAATGACTCTTCCCAGGACCAATGGCTTCACCGAACGATGTTCGGTGCACCCCCCCGGGAAGCCCTGCTGCTGCTCCACGAAGCCCTGAAAGCCCAGCTCGCCATCTGACACCCACGAGACCAGCGGATGTGATGAGGGATTTGTCGGGTTCTTTTCGCCTCCTCTATGGGTCCAGCTATCGCTACTAGGAGCAAGGATGCCACTAGTTATTGCCCCGTGAATCCCACAAATCGCCTCCTTCTTGCTCTAGGATCTTCAGCTATCGCCCACTGTGAGTCCCACCAGTGCTGTTAAACAATCCAAACCACTTCACACTTGCCCAGTTGCTCGAGATCGTTTCTGCTCGGTGCGGTTGCGCATTTGGCACCGGCCAGCCTAGTTTGTGCGGCGGGCTCGGAGTACCTCAGCGTACATCGAGCACAATCAGCGTCGGCGCAGTGGCGTCTCAGCTGGGAGGATGTTCCAAACAACGACCGTCTGGGCCCCCCCGAACAGGTTCCGACCCAGGTGCCTGCAGTGTCAGCAGGTCCAAATACCTGGATCACCCAAGTCATGTGGCATAAAATGGTTGTTGCGGCTTTGCATCAATGGTTGTTGCGTCTTTTGAATATTGTTTCCTAGTTTGCAATGTTTCATATAGAACGTCGTCAAGCAATTGTTCAAGAAACACGTGGATCAACTAAGTTGTGTGAGCAGGAGCATGAGTCGCCACTATTTTCAATCTTCTCCATTGTCAGCTCTGAAACCAAGTAGTGGCCAAATCAACAGAACCACAAGCGCCAACAGGCAATCCAAATGGAAATGGAACTTTGTCCTCGGCGGTCTACTTTACGAGCCAGCAGTGTCACAGTCTGTTGCAAAAAGTTCTCGTCAATCTCGTGGTCGCCGAACGTCATGAGGTCCGTGGTCCATCAACTCGGAGTCCTGGCTTTGAGTTCCGATGCCACATCCATCGAAGGCCAGCTTCCTCTCAGCACAGCAACTATCCTTGTCCTACAAATGTAATGCTGGAGCTTTATCAACTCAACAAGTGGCACAACAAAACAGAAAAGGAAGAAAAAGAAATCGAATAATCCAGAGGGACATGCTGTAGTAGGGAGACAAAGCATATAATCGCGACTAGCCGATGGGTTAGATCGAAGATGGCGAGATTGCACTTAAATGCGTGCATATAATTGTAAAATGTGGCTTGCTTCTTCTGTTTGGACCCAGGATCCCTGTGTTACATTCGTTGATCCCACCAACTGCACAAAACAATTTTATCTCAAAAATATCAAAAAGTGACACGGAACAAGTGAGTTGAAATTTGTAAGAAAGGACAAGAGTCACCACTCAGTTCTGCAAGCTGAAAGCGCCGATGAAGCGCAGGACAAACGTGCTTCGTTAAACGCACGCTTGAGCGCAAGTGCCACGTTTTTGAGTAAAGCAAGCGCCACGCGCCAAGGCCTCTTTGCTAGGAGTCAACACTGATGAAGGGTGCTTGGGCGATCACGGAAGTCAACGACATTGAATGAGTCAGTGAAGGAGATTGGTGAAGCTCTACTCAGTGCCTGATTCAGTTCTTTCCTAGGAACTTGCCGCTTTTTTGTTCCTCGCTCAATCTGATGCAAAAACCCGCCTCTTCAGACAAAGCTGTGGGCACCGGAGGCCGCCATAGCCACCCACCGAAGCGACCATAATCCTGGTCGATCATCCTCAGCAACAACACATAACAGAACAAACTTGGAGTGGTGACCAATACAACATCACCAAACTTCAAACAAGTTCACCAATGAGAGCACGACAAAGAAGAAGAAGAAGAGGAGGAAAAATAAGAATAACAATAAGAAGAAGAACAGGCCGTACGATTGTAAAGAATCCTACACAACAGCATCACATTGGACTCTTTACTCTCCACATTAACACCCATCGTACAGCACCATCACCTCTTCAAAATGTGACCCTTTATAAATTGAGAGTGGGGCGACGTCAGCCTCAATTTTTTGTGTGCCCCAAACAACATAGCTGTAAAGCAGTCTGCTGGCAGCTTGCAGTGAAAGCGGCCCCGATTCATTCTAACAAGGGATATGTGTCCTCTTCTTCCTCGATTTTATGCTATTTATATAGTATAGTTATGTATGTAAATATACATAGTTTTGTGTATATATATACATACAGTGTATATATATATATATGCAACTCGTATATGTAAGTCTGGAAATAAAAGGGCCCCCGGCCAGAGCCAACCTGCCCCCCATCACCAGACAGACCAAGCAACTCCCTGAACGGTTCCAGTGCGGTCACCTTGAGCCTTCCAATCTCCTGCCCCGACATGAGAATCGTCTCGGTTCGGATCGCGAACCGGCGACTTTAGGATTTAGGACCGGATGTTTTAGCAACGTGTTCTGGTTTGTTGTGCAACTCACAAGCAAGTACGGAACGGTTTCACTGCAAACGCTTCTCATTAAACCCTGTCCTGTCGAGATGCAATGCGGCTTCCCAACACTTGGGCGGTATTTGCACGGTGCATCACATGCACGCAGAAGCCGTCTTCATCCTGAGATCAGGAGAACACCTCCCACAACAAAGCAGCTGTGGTTTATGACAAAATGGGTTGTCCATGTCGAAGCACGCCCTCATCAAACACACTAAAGATAGAGTACGTACGGTCTGAGTGCCACATGCCATGAAGCTGCCTAAGTGGTTCAAGAGGCCTAGGCAAAGCTCTTTACAGCAAAGCCAGCGCAATGGATAAAAACAAGGGGACCAAAGTAGGAATGGTCATGACCCAGGTATGTGACTCCAAGGTGTACTCACACACAAGCGCTGACAACCCCACCCCATCCTTGTAGAGTTGGACCTTGTCCTTGCCGAACATATCTCGTAGCTTGAGAAAGAAGGGAGCATCTTCAGCAAAGCCCACATTGGGATACCAGAAACGTAGTGATGGAGTTCTCTTGTGGGAGTAGCTGAAACCATAGCCGTACAAGATCTCATCCAGATCCTGCTGATCGTCCGCCCATTCTTCCCAGCTCTCAGGATCCTGAGAAAACTTGAGAGACCTCTGAAAAAGAGGGAAGCTTTTTGACACACCCAGAAATGGCAAAAAGGCAAACAGCTGCAGCTGCACAACATCAAAGAGCTACTCTTCAGCGCCAAAGAGTCGGAAAAGGTGCACACACCTTGGCCTCGTGGCTGAAACGAAATAGGGTGAAACACAAACACAAGGAGGACGACAAGTTGAACACAGAAAACCACACAAAAGTTCACAAAACAATTGCATTGCAGTCTGAATGCCTATGTAGTAGTTGTACCATGCTGATAGAGTCAAACCCACCAGGTTCTGACTGGAAATCAACTGTATCACCCTTGGCACATAGCCAGGTGCGTAGAGGTCATCATCATCGAAGTTTACAATGTACTCGCCGGAGGCCAAATGTAAGGTCATATTGCGTTTCAAGCCGACCTGAGAAGCAAACCAACATCGGTGCGTCTTGGCAGTTGCAAACCTTTTTCAATCTCTTTCACGAGTATGTGTGCCACAACTCCCAAAACTGCCTGCAGGCAGGTCTTGCAAAATCTGGCAGCTAGGGCGCGGTGATGTCTTTGCCCGGACTGACTTGGATCGGCACATGCACTACTCGCTCATCTCTGCTCGCAAATTTCCTCAAGTAGCGCGAGGGTTTCTCCACATAGGTTTCCACCACGATCAGCTCCTCAAAACTCAATGCTCTTGAGGAAAACCTGTGTGTAACAAACAATCACCTAGCCATGCGAACATCATGGCTCACAAATCCAACAAAAATTATATATATATATATCACACGCCATCACGCATCACAATCAAGGTTTTTTGACATGTCACATGTCCTTGTCAGCGTAGTCTTGGGCGTGTGGTATTCCTGCCGCGGCCAGGCTATCAAAGAACAAATTTCAGAGTTTTATCAAAAACAAAGCTATATATCTATATTCTATATATACATATATATCAAAAACAAAATAATATCCCTTCACAAAAACATGCGTCTGCCACTGTGAACCGCCTTGGCAGAGTTGCGCGATGTGCAGATTTCGTGGCAGGTGCAGCACTTTGAGCACCTTCAGCTGCAGATTTCATGGCAGGCGCGGCACTTTGTGCACTCGAAATGCAGATTTCGTGGCAGGCGCAGCACCTTGTGCACTGGAGTGCAGATTTCGTGGCAGGCGCAGCACTTCGCGAACCTCGAAATGCAGAGTTCGTGGCAGGCGCAACGACTTGTGAACCTTGAAGTGTCAAATGGGCAGCAGGCGCAGCGATTGTGAACCTCGAAGTGCCGATTGCGTGGCGGGCGCTGCATTTCTGTGAATCTCAAGACCTTGAAAAGAGGCTAGTCTCTGGATCTGAAGAGCTCTGGACCTCATCTTGGCCTTTACGTTCTTCGGGACCCTCTACAAGTTACAAGTCTACACCTCCAGAATTTATATATGTGTCCTCAAACATCAATCCAAAAGGCAAATATAAGCAGCATCAAGGCAGCAGCTTACACCTCTTTTCCCTGAGAGGTGGTAGTGTCTGCCTTTACAGGTTTGAGCTGTCCTTCCACCCTGCGCCAGGACTTCGCCTGGTGTGCACTGGGCGGCATTCGAAAATCTGCCTGTGAGAACCTGTAAAGCAGACTGACACCGGGCGTCCAGTCTAGGACCCATGGGTGTCATGGTCTAGTTTGGTCGAGCTCCTCCCTATCAGTGCATGAAGCAACTGAGGATCAGTAGTGGTAGATCTCCTTGAGGACCCAGTTCACGAGGGTAAACTCCGAGAGGGTGTTTTTCGCATCCAGGTGAAAATGCGGGCGGAACCCTGTAGGATTCGGATGGGTGAGTTCGTCAGCCCATTGGTTGAGGTCTCGCTTCACGTGGCTGGGGGCAAGCTGAGCCCCCCCTTTGTGAAGTGTAAGGACCAGCTGCATCAAAATAGCTGAAGTGGGCATCTGCCGCGTCTTGTTGTTCAGCATACAGAAGACATTCCCTTGGTTGTCAGTGATGACCAGGATCTTGATGGCCAGCTGGTGGCGTTCCCCCCATCTTCAAGATGAAGGAGATGAGAATGAGGGATCCCAGTAGCTCAAGCGCTGGTATCATAGCGCTGGCTGTCTTGGTGTTGAACAGCCAGGGAAAGGTCGTCTCTTCCAATTTGAGGTGGAACCAAAATACTGATCGTTTGGATGGGGTTGGATCAGAGGAGAGCCAACCACCAATGTAGTACTCCTTCTGGTTGGAAGCACTCGCATCACTCGCCCCGTGCCAGGGTGACCAGGGCGCAAAGGGTGTTGGTTGAGTGTATGGTTCTTGGAAAAGTAGTCGCAACATCTTGGCAAAGACTCGGATCAAATGATTAGGTCTGCCCGATGACTTGACTGCTCCTTTCCATTGCCAAAGCGGTTGAAGAAGCGGTTTGGTTAAGGGGCAAGCACTTGTTGCCCATTGGAGTCTGCCCGTGCCCTTTTCAAGGTCCTTAAGGGTGAATACTTTGCGGTAGCCTAACATCGCATGGATCATCGCAAGCTTCGCCTCGCCAGACCCCGGCTCCAACTCAGTGACAATCTCCTTGGTGAGGGGGTCGATGGAAGTAGGTCCAGACGCGGAGGAACCCCCCATATCAGGGCGTGAAGCACCTGTGGAGGGCTCCTCCTGGTACTCCATGAACGTCGTGTTGAGGAGGCAGTCAGGGATCTCCTCCAAGAGTCGCGGGTTGAAGAGGTTGGTGCCCTGCTTGATGAACTCCCGGGCGCGAAGGTAGGCCTCCTTCACCTCTTGGAGTTGCTCGCCATCCACCGCCATCGGTCCACGCTCCGGTTCGAAGAGACCACTCTCCAGAGCCTTCCTGACCTTGTCCGGCCACACACTGATTCCATCATATGTGGGAAGGAGGGGCTCCAGCTTACGCTTCTGCTTCTGGTGGAATGCCTGGTTCTCCTCCTTGGCCTTCTCCAGCGTAGTTTGGGATGAGAGGAGTGCGTCTTGGGGTTGCCCTTCCGCTTGAGGAAAGATCTGAACTTCTCAAGCGCATGGCCTTCACGTTGGAGGGATGGAAGGTGATGGTCTCCTGGCCCGGGTCATCATCAGTGGCTCGTTGCGGTTTGCGCTCCACCTCCTCCTTCCGGAAGACCTCGTCATCCCCTCTCTGCATCACTTCCTGCAAGGGTAAGGCGATTCGAGTCACTCACCAATTCACTGAAGGTGACCTCCGCGGGAGTAGCACCCACAGCTGGGGGCTTTTGTCCAAGACTGCTAACTTGCACCGAGCAAAGAGACTTCGAGTCACCCTGGTCCCAGGAGTCGGACTGCCAACGGAGCTGCTGTCCGCATCAAAGGTCATAGTCCATGTGACGCCATCCACTGTCACCGAGGCTGAGGGCAGTGCCGTTGGAACCTTCCCCTCCGTAGAACCACAGTGAAGACACTTCGGCGACTTGGGGAGGACCCAGCTTGCGAAACAGTTGGCGCACGTGTAGGGCAGCTTGGATTCCACCTCTGGGAGGGTCGTCAGCTTCTCCATGGAGCGCGCTCCTTTGGGCAGATGCTTAGCCTCCCAAATCTCCTGCGCAAGGTGCTTGGCCTTGGCAATGGCATAGACCTCAACAATGCGAGCAAAGGCTGCCGGGGTGAGCTTCGTCACGTCAAACTGGAGGCAAAGCTCAATGATCTCACCCACTTGGATGCTTCGCAATGGTTGCGCCAGTTTCTTTGGGAGGCAGGGAAGACCAGCCATGACATTGGTCAGAAGGATGTTCCCGTCCTCGGCAAAGGAGTAGGTCACAGGATCCTGAAGGCGTCCTTCAACTGGAACCTGGGTCTCCAAGGTCGTCCGTAAAGTCGAGGAAGGAGCTGGTGCAGGCTGCCCACCACACAGCGACAGGGCCCCTGATGCTTGCACTGAGGAGAGTGGTGCATCCTTACGAGGCTCAGTATCAGGGCATGAAGCACCTGCCGAGGCTCCAGAATGACCACTCCCAACCAAGGCATCCCAGTATCAGGGCCCGAAGCACCTGCCAGGGCTCCCGCTTTGTCACTCTGATCCAAGGGACGTTTCCGGCTACTCGGTGCAGTCGACGCCGACCCTGCATCCACGGAAGATGCCGGTGGGGGAGAAGCCGAGGTAGAGCTCACCAAGCCGCTGGGAGGTGCCAAGGCCGCCGTTGCAGGAGCGTCCGAAGATGCCAATGGAGGGGTCGACGATGGGTGCCACTGTCAGTGGGGATACAACCTGTGGTCGCCTGGAGCGAGAGGGTGTTGACGCCACTCACCATCGCCTCCAGATCCTTTGCCAGATCCTCAAGGGGTCTTGTCCGGGGGGATCACGTAAATGGCCATCTCATCTTGATCGGCCTCAAGCTGGGCTGATTCTGCGGCTGCGACCTCCTGCTCCATAGGATCCAAGTCCAGATCCATGAAGTCATCAGCTGAGTCCAAAAGTTCGAAGTCGAAAAGCGTGTCAGCCATTGCGGCGAGACTCAGAAAAGATGGATCAGGGTTCTGATCCTTGAGCCAAAATGGCATGCCATTTTGGCTAATGAAATGTATTGAGGACACATTGTTTGCAATCCGCAAACTCCATGCAAAACCAAAATAGATTTCAAGACCTGTCCAGATCTCAAGACACAACTCTTCTGAACCCTGGGTTTCTAGACCCCTACACCTCTAGATCTGTCTGGATGTCCAGGCCTTTGAACCTTTGTAGATGCAGACCTCTCTGCTTCTCAGCCGTGGTCTCCAGGCCCGTAGAATTCACAAAAAAAGGTTTGCTAAGTTGGAATGGCACCTTCCTCCTCTACCGTTTACCCTCAATTGGCTGACAAAAAGTCTGCTACCTGGAATAGCCCTTTCCTCTCCTAAATTTTACCCCTGCATGGATCACAAAAGGTCTACTACTCCTCTAAGTGTTCCTCACCACAGGTCTGCAAAACTTTATCCTCGGGTGGCTCACAAAGGTCTGCTACGTTGGAATAGTACTTCCCCTCTCCAAATTCTACCCTCGGGTTGCTCACAAAACAAAGGCCTGCTACGTTGGAATGGCACCTTCTTCCTCTAAATTTTGCTCCGCAAGGCTAACAAAAAGTCTGCTACGTTGGAATGGCTCCATCCTCTTCTAAATTTTACCCTCGGGTGGCTCACATTTTGCCGTCGGGTGACTCACAAAAGGTCTGCTACGTCTGGGGATACAAGGTCTGCTACAGTGCTTCACAGGATGTATGACCAGGAGATTTCCAAGTCACCCTTTACGCGTCTTGCCTCGAAAGTACAGACCCAAGGACCCGAAGACCAGGACCAGAGGGCCAAGAGGACCAAGGGACCAAGGGACCAAAGGACCAAGGGACCATAGGACCAAGGGACCACAGCACCAAGGGACCAGTGGACCAGGACAAAGGATAAATAGGTTTTTTGATGTTTTTTGAAACGAATTAATGTCTTTGTTTGATAGGCATCATGTTTTTATTGATAGGAATCAATTTCTGTTTGATAGGTATCCCTCCTTCCGCGAGTCCATGGTGGGTGCAACAATCGACACTCGGCCTGGGATTTCGCACATGACCTGGGTCCGCACATCGCACGGCAAGCGAGGCAGGTGACAGCGATTGAGTTGTTTTCAACAGTTTTCAACTATGTCGCTTCTAAGACGGTGTCCCAAATAAGGGGATACTACATGGAAAATCAAAACAAGTGGCATCGGCGTTCATGGGCACCGGCACCCGTCTCTTTTTTTGCCATCTCAGTTGGGTTGTAATCCCCATTGGTCATCTCGAAGAGCATCCTCTCCAGAGACATCACAGAGGGCTGTCGAACGTGCCCCTGGCGGCTGGACAACCCGATGGAGTTGTTGTTCGCTCGAGAAGTGTGAGATAAGGGGCTCGATGAGACGATGGGTTGATCTCGTTTCGGTGCTTTGGGTGGTGACTCGTTGCCCAGTTCTTTCTCGGACGTGTTGGCGTCCATGTTGGGTAGGCTTGAAGCTACGGGCACCCCGAAGGGTTTTGTTCCATTGGGCCCAGGTCCAAGAGGCAAATTAGGTGGACTCGTGGTTGGACTTGGGGTTGGCCCTGGGGCAGCACCAGGTGCAGCGACAACAGGAGTGGCAACAATTGGAGCGGTGCCAACTGGAGTGGTGCCAACTGGCAAGTGGAGGAAGAAAGATGTTGTTTGTGGCAGGGGGCTGGGGCTGGTAGGGATTCTTGCTGCCACTGGCAGGCTTTTGGCAATCTGAGGTGGGGCGATGTTGGAATTGCTGAGAGGACTTGGACTCATCCGCGTCACGGTCCTAGGACCCTTGGCAACGATTGATGTCGGACACGCTGGCACTCCACGCAATATGCTTCTATTTGCTGTGAGCACCATGGGGCCAGCAGCCTGGCTTGGCACCACCATGCTTTGGGTGGCACACATGCTTGGCAAGTTGGGCTGTGAAGCTGGGATGCTCCATTGCCTCAGCCGTTGTGGCGAGCAATCTTCACATGCTTGCCGTTCGCACTTAATCAAGCCAAGATACACACCAGGAAGATTTCTGATTTGGGCAGAAGGCGGTGCATATCCAACAGTTTTGTAGGCCTTGGGCCAAGGGGCTGGATGGTTCAAACATGAATCTCCATGGTCTGAAGTGCAACAACTCCCGTGGGCCAGGCAGCTTGCGCCGTGGGCGTAGCCGTTGGGCCAACAGACCAACGAGCCGCTTTCGGAAGTGGTCCTGCCAGCTGAGGCAAGCTAAGGGGGTGCTTGGACGAAACATCAGCAGTTGACACAAAACATCACTGTCTCTATGTCTAGGTCTCTTGACCCGCCTCGTATCGGCGCCTGTTGGTTCAAACCCTGCCACGAAGGCATCAGGTACCTTGACATCCAGCACATAGGGTCTCACGTTGATCTTTTGTGCTTGTCAAAGCTTAGCCACTGGCGTCACTGGCGATGTGTTCACTGCGCCTTCCAACAAAGGAGGGAAAACCAGTCACTGTGTTTTTGGACCCGGCAATGCAGAACTGCAGAACTGCATCAGGGCTGAGGTCTTATTCCGGCAACGTAGTGCGTTGGCCGGGGGTGTCGAGAACTAAAGCCTCTTCGGGGTCACATCTGTGGTGGAGCTCAGTACGCATGGGTCATCAGTACGTCACGCAGGTGTCCAATCTCTCTCCCTCTCTGTGTAGCTGGCCTGAAGAGCACTGATTTTCACAGTTGAAGCAAGCATGCTCGAGCCGATATCATAAGCATACTTGGACTTTCGATCATGACACGGTATATAACTCTCGCTTGCACTTTCCAACTGCTGGGTTCTTGAAGAAAAAGCACCACATGTACGACATCCTGGAAAACCATTGTTTTGGACTGGTGCGAGAGTGGCAGTTTTTGGTTTCTTGGGAGAGCCTATCGCTTTACATGGTTTTGTGATAGATTTGACATAACTCCGGAATCCTTTCCTGACAGGCTCGAAAAGTGATGAAGGACATCTTTTCTAAGTGATCCTACGTTCATGGGTCTATCCCTTGGCTGGGGGTCTTCGTGTAGCACATAGTTATCGATAATGTTTTCGTTTTAACCACCTTGGACACAAATGATACGGCAACTGCGGGAAGCACGGGAACCGCAGGTTGTATTTGTCATCATCGGTTTTGCCCGCTGTATGAATGTGCACAAAAGTATGTGGTTACGCCAAGTTTAATGGACTTTCACATGTGACTACAGCCTATCGTACTTTTGCGGGGCCCTATCGTTTTACATGGTTTGCACTTGCTCAGCACAACTGCGCCCTCCCTACTAAAGTGATCTCGGACCTTGACTCATGTATATGTATGTGTGTATGTATTTATCTATATGGCTGTGGGTCAAAACCCAGAGGGGTAGGTTGGCCTCCGGTTGACCTCAACCAGGATCCGGTTTTGACCCATATTGTTTCTAGTATATGTGCAATGGACATAGCCACAATACTGGCTGTGGGCGCACCGTTGACGGCACTGGCCTTTGTGTCGCAGTGCAGCTTTAACAAATTGGCCAGTCAGAGCAGGCTGAGAAAAATGGGAATCTTTGGGATTTGTAACTTCTGTATAGGTCCAACTGCTGCACCAAAAAGAGCAAGCAAAGCTTGAGCACCCAACGACTGTACATCACGCGGGGGGTGACATGCCAACACCTGAGATGCCAGGATTGCACTCTTCCAAGAACTGGATACAAACCCATCATTCACCTCATTCAGAGCTCAAACCCACTCATCAAACTCAGATACAACACCATGACTCTTCAGACTTCACCATCCGTCACCATCCTGTGATCCATCTCAATACATTTGGCAAGATCACATCTCTGAAGGAAACGTTCAAGCTAGGCAAGTGCAAAATGGACATGGGGAGGAAAACAAAAGTGAAAAAAATACTAGTAACAAGTGCATCGCTGCTAGGAACAAGTGCCTTACTAGTAGTAACAAGAAGCTATTAGAAACAAGAATTAAAATAGAAATAAGTTTAATTAGAAACAATAAGCTACTCTGTCTTCCGTCCCAACACGCTCCGGATCTTGCCCCCGAGCTGTCTCTGGTCCGCGGTCGCCGGCGCGAAGCCCGAGGGTCTCGGAGCCTGGGCGCTCGGAGCACCGGTCTTTGGCTCTAAAAACCAGAAAAACTGGTATATAACTAGTATACATATATATATATACATATATACATATATACATATTAAATACATATCATATATATGTATACTATATATAGAAAAGATTTAAAGAGGTAATAGCGATGCACTTGTCACTAGTGGCGAGCAAGACGCGGCACCCTTTTGTAAGGATGTGTCAGGTAGAGATATATAAGGTCTTATAAGAAACGTCAACGAATCACGACGTGAGGGAAGCTTCGATTCACTTTGCATACGGTATGACACATCTGAAGTCATCGGTATGTCCGCAGACTAGGCACCCAGACTTGTCGCGGGTCTTCCGCAAACCTCCAACCGGCAGAATCGCAAACATATACACAGTAACACTCTCTCTGTGGCTCAACTACCAAGCAATGGCCGGATCCCGACAATCTCTGTGTGCCTCTGTCCGCATCTCTCCAAGAGTCTTCCCGCAACCTTAAAATCAATTTGGAGGACTTGGCAACAGCGAGATATCAGACTTAGCAAAGGCATGCAAAGGGACCAACAAGCTGGACATCGAGGTAACTCAGCACTGATTTGGAGATGCTCCACAGGCAGGATATCATGCAGCACATCCCTAAAGTGGAGATCTTGGATTGGAAGAGGAACAGTTGCTGGCGCGGCTCAAACAACTTCAAGTTTCGCACCGGTCGCGACTCTTCTTCATCGTTCTCCCTGCCAGTTGGGGAATGGCTGTTGTTAGTTACCCTTTGGCAAGTCGCTTCAACTAAGCTGGAGAAAAACTGGTTTCCCTTAGTGTGTAACGCCAACTCAACTCCAAACCCAGTGCCATTGGCCCAAGATCCTCTATGATCTCTATGTCAATCTGTTCCAGTAGCTGTTTGGGCAGACAGCCAATTGACAAAAGACCATCGATTCACTCATCCTCCAGTTCTAAAAGGGGGCCGATTCCACCTGGTTCTTCTCGCACTGAGAGGTCGCGCCTAGGCCGCACGAATCGCGCCCATGGAGTCGATGGTGTCCGGCTGAAAGCTGAGACAGCTCCCCGTGAAGTTGATCGTGCGGGGCTGCTTTTCCCTGCCGTTTGTGGGGTAAAAGGATACCGTAAATAATGAAAAAAACATCTCATAAAAATTCCGTGTTCAATCAATATAAATACACTCCTATGACATCTGCATGTTGCACTGAGCATTGTCCCATTCCTCGCTGGGCTCCCCAGACGAGTCGTCCCGCACATCCCGGCGGCCGTCTCGGTCCATTCTCCAGAAGGCAATTGGAATGTTGATTAGTCAAACTCCCCATTTAGATGGTAAAACATTGTAAAACCATGTTAAAATATGAGGGGGTTCCTTAATCAACCATCTTAAATGAAATCGAGCATCTACACTGCAGGGAAGCAAAAAAAGGCACAAAACCGAGATCCCGTTTTGTGAGACCAGATCCGTGTGTTTTTGGGATTCCGTTGTGCTCTTGCAGCTCAGTCACGGCTCGCCAAACGGCCGTCTCGGGTCTCTGGCCTTAGCGGCGGAGTGACCAAGCGCCGTGATGGAATGATGACACGATGACGGACTCCAGTGGTCCGAAACAGAGCGCCAGGGCGGAGGCGCTCACCACCTTCTGAGAAGCCAGTAATTGACAGAAGTTGAGATGGAACTGCGCACAGGTTTGCTGAGCCAAAGGCACACAGCCCTTGAAATCCTGCGAGTCAAACCTGCATGAAACGGGGAGAATCTGTGCACTCCGCCTTAGACTAGTGTTGTTGATAGATAGTGGTTCCAGTGGTTCACACGTTTTGCCGTGGGATGTTGGGATGTTGGGAGTGTGGGATGTCGCTGTCGTATGTCTGACAGAAAGGGGACCCTGTCCAGCTGCATGCTGCCCTTGCTGCCCTTGCTGCCCTTGCTGCCCTTGCTGCCCTTGCTGCCCTTGCTGCCCTTGTCCAAAAATATGTTAAAATGTTTAAGGTCATCGACTTTAGACATCCAATGAAAAACATGGAAGGGCTTCTGGACCAGACAGGCCAGAAATCCCAAAGAACGAATGCATAAGAATGATCCAAGGAAATCGTACAAAGTCAAGCATGTAAATAGAAAGGCGTTTAGTGACTGCACAAGAAGCCATTTGCACCTCTTGACAGCAATTAATTTTTCCTCTGCGATCTCTCTCCGCAGCCGTTCTTCCTGGCAGGCTCTTCAGCGCTTGCACTGAACGGACATTGGACATCGGTGTCGTCGGTCACCTCTGCCCTTCGAGGCGGGATGGACTGTTTTCTTGGAGTTGGACGCTATGGCTACTGGGGTGGAGGTCATCCTTATTCTGGTGGAGGGTGGAGATAGACTGTGTTCTTTTGTTTTTGGGTGGGTAGCAATTGCTTGTGCAAACGCCCCAGGGCACTTGCCTTTAGCGGGCAAAGGGTGGTAGGAAATGAGCACCAACTTAACGCCATGCCACTAAAAAGTTATAAGTTATAAGGCTCCAACTTTGGCTCTAACCACATATATATATATATATATGTTTGGCTTCGGAGTCGCTCTGTCTTCAGCATGTTCCAGCTAGTACAAATCAGTCGAGTAAGATGCTCCAAATTCCTAGTTGACATTCACAAGAGATGCTGTCGCAGGAGGCAAAAAACTGATTCAAAGGCAACTCCTTCAAAACACTGCCACCCGTTCAACGACGACCCGTTCTTCTCCTCTTTGGCATCTTCTTGCTCCTGACGCCGCCGGGCTTCCTCCTTACGGCGCTTCGCTTCTTCCACCTCATCCGCCGATCGGACTCGCTTTTGAAAATTGGTTTGGAAGTCTTTCCCCAAGCTCTGAGCTTCAAAGAACTTATCACGTCTACTGAGTCTACTGCATGGATTGGTTCTTTATTTGCTCCCCATTTCGTCAAGAGCTTTCAAGAATAGGTCAGTATTCGCTCCCGACTCGGGTAAAGTGGCTCCATCCAAAACTTGGATTTCACTCAGTTTGACTTGGTATCTGGCCTGCACAGCGAGCGCACGTTGCAACTCCTGCGCTTCCGCACGTTTGATGCCCTTTTGGCCGCGAACAGTCCGAAGCAAATCTGCAGAGACAGCAAACTGCACTGCACTGAGAAATTGGACTGCACTACACTGCCTTTATGCCTTTTCTGTGACCTTGCAAGCACTTTGCACTTTGCACCACGACACATCAATGAGCCACCTGCTGTTGGAGCCGCTTTCGCTCGCGTTCGGCATCCTGTCAGAGAGTCTAGGGTTTCTCTTCAACAAAACAAGCGGCGACTCCCAAAAATAGATTTGAACCATGTTTTCGCATGTGATTCTGCCTCCTCCAACGCGGCTTGTGGGACTTGATGCAAGGGTGAAGGGCGAGGTGAGCACTTCACCAACACGCTACCAGTCTCCTCAGACTGCTGCCTTCTTTGCTGCTCCTTGCGAGCCCTTTGCTCCTTGATCTGCTCTTCAAGGGCATTTTGCATTTCCTGCTGCTGCTTCCGCCTCTTCTCCTTTTCAGCCTTTTCATCTGTGAGCTCACCAGGGAAAACCAACCCTAGCGGCCCTGGCGGACATGGACCACCCACCGGACCGGGAGGAGTCTGAGATGTTTGAGCTGGTCGAGGGCTCGGCTGCAGAAAGGTCTGCTCGTGTGTTCCGAGCACACCGCGTTGCTGCAGCTGAAGCTCTTGCCAAGCAGGAAGG